TGTGTGTGTGTGTGTGTGTGTGTGTGTGTGTGTGTGTGTGTGTGTGTAAATTCTAAAGTAGAATTTTGGTAAAATCATAGGAACTTTAGAAACTGGCTGAGTGGTAGAAACAAGTAACATCCCAAATCACATTTTCACATAAAATGATACTGTTTTGATCTCGTGATCATGCAGATTTTTGCAGCCCAAATATAATAGCCCTAGTGATCAGCTATTTAAAAATAGGATGTTGTCCATCATAATGTTCATATATAAAATGTGCTTTCTAAAGTATGGTAGCGTAAATAGTGAGTTGTCAGTCATTTTTTTCACTACAAGGGAACATTTCCCATCTTTCACGCATTGTTTCAAATTGTTAAGATATTTAACACTTACCACAACTAATCCTGATGATAAAATGATCATTGCAAGTCCAATTCCCAACATGTAAATCCAGGCCATGTGAAAGTTGCCTTTCTGTCCATTTTACAAATACACAGTAAGCGATAGAAGAATGTTATAACTCTTATCACATGAATTTGCTGTAAATATTCTGTTAATGCATTGTATGACCTCCTAAGGTTTATCTAATCTACATACTGTTTGTAATCTACATACTGTCTTTATCATATGAAAAGAATCTCACAATGGATCAGAGGAATGGAAATTGGGTATATTTTAGCCTGGGGAAAATATAAATTGGAGATCTGATTTCGGCATGAATCCCAATTAAAGAGTATGCTCCTGTACAGAAGCAGAAGAATCCTGAGAAATTAAGTAACAGGACATCCCATTAAAAATGCTCTACTTCAAAATGAATATTGTTTTATTTGGCACAGAGTGTAGGTTTACCCCAGCTATCAATAACAACAGACATTCGTGTACTTGAACTAAAACTTTGATTTATTAAGAAGTATATGAAGACAGAAAGTCTTCACTTTTGTGTAAACTACATTTTATCCAGAGTTGTTCCAATAGTGGGATGGGCAGTATATAAATTAAATAAATAAATAAATTTTAAAGTGTGGTGAAGTCTGAAGGGAGGGAGGAAAGGATAGAGAAAGGAAATTGGCTTATTGCTTAAGAGATTCATTAGCTAACTAAAGGACAGGAAAACTAAACATAGGAATAGTGCATGAAGGCTCTTATTAGTGGCTTGTCATTGGCTCTAGTGATTAAATAGGCTTGTAGGTACAAAGAGATGGTTCAGTATATAAATACAAAGGAATATATAAGCATTCTTCTGGTATCTTAAAAAGTACCACACAAAAGAAATCATAACCTGTGTTTTATCTTCTCAGAATACAAAAACAGGAATGGTTTTAATTTTCAGAAAGAGGGCTTCAGAAAATAATAATAATAATAATAATGAAGCAATTCAACAGTATCACTCTTCCTTTGTGCTGGAGATGTCACATAACAGAGTTTTTAATTTGTAGTCTTGCACTGACCAGACTTTAGAGTTGACTACTTAAACTATTTTTCCAACTCTGCTTGAAAGGTTCAATCAACAAACAGTAGTATCGTGCCCATGAACATCTATAATAATGTTTATTATACGTGCTGAACTCTTGACTTTCATCATTCACTTTCAGATGTATTTCTGTTCATAATCAAATCCACATGACAATAGTGAACAGCTACCTCAAAACAGAGGTACAATTGTTGATGTCAACAGCTTATATATTGAGGCTAAGCATATGTTTATTTGTATAACATTCACTGCATTTTTGCCAACGTCTACTGCTATTTTTTTATCATTTAATAAAATATGAGGAATTCCTCTCCCCCACTCAAATGACATATAGCAGTCGCTGTTTCATCTAGTAAGCCATCTCATTAGCCTCCAAGCCGTATAATAAAAATATAATGAAGCAGTGGATTTATATGCATTCACACAAGCAGAAAGCCATCTTAGGTATTTATGTATTTAGACTTATACATTTATTTTTAAATAAATGCATACTAAATTGGCTATATAGCTTAAGCTAAAAATAGGTTCTGAATGTTATACATATTACTGCATATGTTTAATATATAGTGTTTATTTACGTTAATATTGAAAAGATACTGACTTAATAATTTGTCCAGTTCCTACAATAATAATCGCTGCATTCCTGACTTTGCAAATTATCTTGTAATTCAGCTACATCTATAATTATCATTCCAACTGAACAAATGTTTCTACTGCCAACTTTATACTAATACTCAACTGATTTGATACAGGCTGGGTTATATTGAGACTAGACCTTTGGTATCCATTCTGACATAAATCGCATTGACTTGAGTATAATTGTGACAATCTCCATCCAACTCATTGATCATTAGTGAGTACTTTATAAAATCATCATCACAGAAGCCCATATAACATATTTCCTATTTTACATCTTTGGAAAAATATTGTTCCATCTTCCATCTTACAACTTTTTTTTGCTTTTGTTTGTGTTGGATTGGCTGAAATCAAGATGTCTGGAGTGCCCATCACAAGTAAATTGACTCCCATGCTTTTGCAAAAATGTCGTGATACTGAGGTTAGATTCACTTGTGGCTAACCATCAACGATGCCTCAAAGATGAAATAGTTCAGCAAGCTACCACAAATTTCCTGCTGTAGCCTCAGGCCAGATCTTTTGACTGTAAATTGCAAACATGTGGTACTCTGTAGTAATTCAGGAAGACCAGATACATAAACCTGAATCTACCACTTCACAAATTTAAGTGGTATTTATCTCAGTCTTGGAAACATTTCCATAATCTTCTCAAGTTTCCTTACATATGACTAGTAGAATCAGGGTTTTAACAGAATCCTGATAACGCAAAACACACACAAAAAACTTGTGGACTAAAATCTGTTCTAAGTCTTTGGTACCAAAAAAGCCATTCTTTACAATCTCTTAGCATTAACAATTATTCACAGCCCAGGTCTAAAAAAACCCCTTCCTTGCTCTGTAGATGCTTTATTGCTACATTGTGCATCATATTTTGATATTCATATTGAGTGATATCTTTGCATGCATCCTGTATTTTGGATGCAAGTAATCTGATCCCTGTGACCATCATGTCTGCACTCATGATGCACTGCTAATACCCATGATTTTTGTTATTTGTCTTTGATCAGAAGTTTGCTAATCACCATGTCTATCGTGATCCAGAATATTAGTGGATTCAATATAAGGCCCAAAGATAGGCCCCGGAATTAAGAACAGCACTTCCTATATTAACAGTAGAGGTCTGCGGTCAGCTTTGAAATGCTCCTAGACATTTTCCCCTACAAAAGAAAGGAAGGCATTGAGACCCAGCTTTGTTTAGTGATTAAGGCACCAGACTAGTAATCAGAAGATTGTGACTTCTAGTCTCACCTTAAGCATGAAAGGTGGCTGGACAACTTTTGACCAATTGCTCTTTCTCAAACCTACAATGTCAGGCTCAATTGACATGCTGGTCAATCAATTCCAACTGCAACCAATGGATCAATATTCAGTTAATCATGGGGTGGGGGAAGCTGACCCTGCATTTGTAAGAAAACATTAGGAAGAAAAAAAAAGAAAGGTATTGACCATATTGTCACTGACTGTTTAGTGGTAGAAAGCTAAGAAGGAATTGTGATGACTTTAAACTGCAAAAGATGGAAGCAAAGAATCTGAGACCAAACAGGACCATGATAAAAACTCAGTGTAGGTGTCTTTACATCCAAGAAGAAATGAGTAACATTTAAAAGCAAAGAGAGTTAAAAGAGTTGCATATTTATTTGTTTGTTTGTTAAATTTATAGGCCATCCAACATCCAGCAGTTCTGGACAGTTTGAAATGTACTTTTGAAATGCACTGTTTTAAATGCTGGAGTTCCAGAATGACAAGATATTAAATTGCCATTGACAATAGTTTTATATCTCAGCTATATTTCACAGACTATTTATATTCAGAGTTTTCATTTATCAAAGTAAAAGCAGATGTTTACTTGTACTATACACCTGATTTTTTTTAAAGAATCTTCTGCATTGTTAGCAATAAATCAATGCTTGTGTATTCACTGAATTTTGCAGTTCTTACACAGAAAGTATAGCTTTCTCATTGCTTTCAAAATCTGCTTTTTTTAGGACAAATTTTAAGAGTAGATACTACAGCATCAGAGAATATGGTACACAGCAATAAATGTCTTGTTGTTCATGTAGTTTTAGACATTAGCTATTACTTCTAAAATTATCCTACCCAAAAAGAAGACATGCTTATTTTTTACAGTGCTCTATTTTGCACTTTTAGAATCTCAGAGTTCAAAAGTTTGGATCAAACAACAAACAAAATGTGTGGAAAGCTACCGGAAGAACTATATCAGGGAAGTGAAAATAAAATGGAAAAGGAAATGAGATAGGCATCATATGTATGTATTAATCCAATTTTATCTTCATAATCTGCCTTGTGGTATGGATAATATACTGCAGGTTTCACTGAGACAAGCACATAATAAGAATGAATCACTAGAACTGTCTATTCTAATACTTTAGGAATGAAACACACAAAAAAGTGATAGAATAATATAAAAAGAAGGCTTAGGTCCAAGGTCAGGCAATATTCTGGATACATTGAGGACCATGACTCATCTTCCTTAAAGGCCCTAGTCCAGTGATGGCGAAACTTTTAGAGACCGAGTGCCCAAACTGCAACCCAAAACCCACTTATTTATTGCCAGGTGCCAGATGGGCATGGCCCTCTGGGTGGCCGTGGCTGTGGTGGTCATGGCAGATTGGGTGGGTGTGGCCAAGGTGGGCATGATCACCTTGATGTTGCTTGTGGGGAGGGATGTCTGTGGGGGCCGGGCAGGGTTGAGGGAGATCCAGGGGGTCTCTAGCAGGTAGGGCGGTGGGCAGGAGGCTTGTCCTGTGGGGTGAGGCAAGGCGAGGCAGGGTGGGGGTGCCATTGTCACAGGGCAAGATGAGGCAGGGGCCGGGGCGGTTGCTGCCTGACACCATCGGCCCCGGCACACAGAGGCCAGCGAGCGCATGGGTGCTGGGATGCATCCGGACATGTGGGACCTCAGCAAGTTAGCGGGCAGCTGGTTGAAGAGGGTCGGTTGCCATCTCTGGGGCATGATGCGTGTGCCCACAGAGAGGGCTCTAAGTGCTGCCTCTGGCACGCGTGCCATAGGTTCGCCACCACTGCCCTAGTCAGTCATGACCAGTGAGCATTTTGATTGGGAATTAAGGGAGTTGTAGTTCAGGTTGGGCAAGAATATGATAAACTACTGAGAAAAGACTAATCTGCAAAGCCTGATACTTTATTGAAGAGTCAAAGGGGCTTGTCTCTGAAAGCTCCATTCAGTTACTGGATTCAGTGAGGTGATGCATTTTATAAGGAGGCAAGGTGAATAGAGCAACATGGTTGAAAAGTAATTTGTATGAAAATTGGAAGTGTGGCAGTTAAAAACTTGCAGGGTAATGGAAGAAAATATTGGTCATGTTTGCCCTCAGTCTCAGGGCACCAGTAGGACAAAAACAGTGCCTTCTTCCTGCAGCTGAAGTAAGCCCTATCATGTTTTTGATTATGGCCAAATTCAATGGCACACACACAAATGCCTTTTGTTTCTTCTGGCTGCTGCTCTTATAGATATTGGTTAAAACTTTCATTTGCTTTCAATTTCATATTGATTTTTTTAACTTCTGCCAGGTTAAAATAAAGCCCAGATGTGCTGAACTACTTATTCATCAGGCTTCCTCTGCTGACAACTGTGTCCTTGTTGTCAACACATTCAATATTATGCAGATTTCTTATAGGCTGCTCTACTTCAAGCATTCATCACTTCCCTTTGATCTGACTCTCAATATAAATAAAAGAAAACCTGAAACCAAAGAATGCTACTATATATAGGCAGCAACAGGTCTCCAAGGCTATCTGACATTTTTCAATTAGGTAATATTTTTCCCCCCAAAATAGACAAAGAAGCATAATTTGCTTTATTAGATTCAATGAACAAGTTTTAAGAAAAATGGGAAGAATTACTAAATAGGGCCTGGTATGTTGCATAGGGTTGGCTTTAATCACTGTAGGGAAGAAAGAACTCCAACTGGATAATTGGACCTAAGCTCTTCTATTCATCTTAGCAGGTTTCTAAGGCATATTAGGTGCCATTGACCCACTGCGTGGGATAGGGGGAAGGTGTCAAAAAACTGTGAATGCATGATCAAAGCTCCAACTCTCTTTTCATCACATAATTATATCTATTTTAACTTTCTTAGTACCCCCTTACAGAACCTCTGCCCCCATGTTAGCTTTTTTCCCAATACATTTTGTGTGTGTATATGTGTGTTACTTCATTACCTTTTGTCTATGGAGATTCTTAGTCATCCAGGTTATGGTTAACTATGACCTGGATGATTCAGAATCTCCATAGACATTCATTATCTTTTGCTTGCCATCTAGTGTTATCCAGATTTATATGGCCCAGATATAGTTGCATGCAAACCTTTGACAATGACTCATATGGCTGCTTCTAAAACTGTCCTTGCCTGGTTGACTCAAATGGGCATATGTGCATATGCAGACAATAAAAGTCAGAATCAAACAAGTCACCTTATGGATTTCAAATGCAAACATACAAACTATCATAATTAATTGTGGCTTATTTGGAAATCACAGGCTATTACCAAGCTTTTCACCAGAGACAAATTTCTTGTGTCTAATCACACTTGGCCAACAAAGTATTCTATTCTATTCTAAACTGACATTTATATTAGTTGTCCTCATTGGGGGGCTGAAAAAACTCACCTGGTATTAAGTAAACATGAAAATGACCTCACTGCATTGCTATACAAGCAAAGTGGGACAAAGATCTTTTTATAAAAATGGGCAATCTTGTGAAGAGAAAATATGAAGTATGCAATGATTGGAACTATACATCTTACCAAGCCATGGTTTGCTTAAGCATGTTGATTGGTGAGTCATATTTGGCTGGATTTATAAAACATGTAAAGCATAAACTTCATTTATGGACTATAGTAGCTGGGGCAACATAATATGCTAAGCAAAATAAAGCAAACTTTTATCTTGATGTCACCCAGCCCACAATTTAAAATCTCGAGATAACTGTAATCAATACTTGAGCAGGGAGAAAGGTAATGAATGTAGCATAATCCTAATATCAGACAAGAACATTTCAGTTGAGTTTAACTTTGTAATAAAAGCTATATTGTATAATTTTCTTTTACCTGAAGATAGTCTTCCACCAGGCCCCATTTTAATCTGATGAGGTAATCAATTATTTGGTGAGTCAGGAAACCCAGAATTCCGATTGCTGTTCCAATGGTCCCCATCACCAACCATCGATCCCAATCCATTCTTTAAAAAAATGGGGGGGAGGAAGCAATTCCATATCAGTGGCAAAAAATATCATGGAGTTAATTAGTGGCTTTGGGGCAAAAGCTCCATAAAAGTTAATTAGTTAATGCTTAGGATGATGGAATCTAGATTTTAAAACTGATTCAGTGACTAATCCTGAGAAGCAAGAGACATGTAGGAAAACCTTCACTAAGAAAACAATGACTTTGTTTGATTCTACTCTGTTTTGTTCCCTTTTTGCAGCACAACAATCCTACAGTCTAAATAATATGTGTGGCATATTGTAAGTCACTCTAACTATTAACCCTGAGGAAATTTCAACTTCTTTAAGAAAAAAAATCAACAAAAGCAAACTGGTTTAAAATCATTATGTATTCTAATAAGAACTTTTGAGATGTACAACCATTTGCTTTTGAGATATATTAATTATGGGTAACATTTAGCTTGTTTTGTTATATATTGTTTTATATATATACATTTGAACTAAATATACACTGATGTAATAGCTCATTCTTAATTGCTGAAATATGAAAATAGTTTGCCAAATCCAGCCTCATTTTCACCATCATCCCCAGTTCAGAAACATTTCAAGAATCTTAGCAAGTTCAGTCCCAGTTTTTAAGGAACAAGAATAGAAGTCCATCAGCACCTCTGGACAAAGAATATATCTTTCCTTACAATCTGTTTTAGGTGTTTTAAACTGCAGTTCTTCAATAAAACCTGCAAAGAATTATTGTAGATAAGTTTCAAAACACAATTCTTTCCATTGTTTTACTACACTCCTACTTTTAAATTGCATATTATTGTTATTCTGTGAATTACTTGACTACCTTTAGCAGGAAAAATGACATAGAAATAAGCATTTTTCTAAAATGTGGCCACAACACAAAATGGCATTTAAAACTTTCCTCATCCCTATTTATAGCACTTGCTCCCCTGTCTTAATTGTTAGGCATATTGCTTGATTCTTCTAATGAAAGAGCATGGATTTCTCAAGTATGGATGTGATTTTTTTTCCTAATATGATTTGTCTTCCCATCTTTTGCTTTATTCAGTTCATCTCCTGTCTGATCTGCATGCACTTTTCACTGTCATCAACAGATGGCACTGGAGTACTTTATAATCCTTGTGCAGAGAAAAAGATATAATGGGAGGTATTTTCAAACTAGGAAAGATTTAGTGTCTCAAATGAGATAAGATTCCTGCGGTGCTGTGCTCTATTTGCTTGTGGGAGATAATTGATCCTGTAGTTTCCCCCATATATATTCTCTATAGCTAGTCCTCAACTTACAACCACAATTGGGACCAGAATTTCTGTCATAAGTCATTGTAGTCGTAAGTCACCAAGATTTGATGATAGCATTTACAGTGTATTAAGCAAATCACTGTGGTCATTAGGCAAATCATCTGGTCGTTAAGTGAACCCAGCTTCCCCAGTGAGTGTTTTTTTCATTGGCAACAAAGGTTCCAAATCATGTGACCACAGGACACTGCAACCAGTTGTGATCTGGTTGCCAAGTGCCAAAATTGCAATCATATGACTGCAAGAGTAAATATAATGGTCATAAGTGCAAATACAGGTCACAACTCACTTTTTATTCTGAAACTGCTGTAACTTTGAATCATGGTTAAATGGTTCATTAAATTGTTAAACTTGGGTCCCTTTAATTCTAGCACAACACTTTAATCTCTATAGCACATTTGAATGTTCATTTGCAAGGTATTCACTAGATTAGAGATCTTAGTTTGCAAAGAATAGTGTAAGCATATTTGGGCTTTGTGCTTGCAGTTAAAGGGCAAACATGTGCCAGAAAGTGGCTCATTCTGTTCAGATTCTTAGTGAAGAATAACACCTATGGCATGAATATGACTAAGGTACTTAATTCTACCCTTCTCTTACTAAAACCATAATTTGAAAGCATCAGCTGACCAAACCATGCTTGAGCGCAACAATGAAAAGTGTATGAGCTATAATGACATCACACTTGTGATGTAATAGGAGTGTGTACAAAAAGAACCAGAATGTATGACATGAAAGAAAAAAAAATGATTCTTCTTGCAAAACTAAGAGAAAAGAGAAAGCTACCAAAAAATTAACAATGGCCTGATCCTGTTTAGTGAAGGTATAGGTTTAATTATGAATAAGTGATGAAATATGTCAAAAATATTAATTGCTATTATATACTATAGGTTGGTACACTTATAAAAGTAGGGATGCATAGATTGACAATATTTATGATAGCTTTAGGAAAGAGTAAGAGAAGCTCCAGAATGCAGCAGCCCTCATTTTCAACTTGGTATATCCATATTGCATATCTGCAAGACTGTATGGAGAATACAGTCTTGCAGATATGCAATATGGATATATATCTATCTATCCAGTGAGATCCAGTAGGTGAGAACCCAATCCCTAAGAAATCTTTTCAGAAATGTTTAGGGTAACCTTCACGGTAGGAGTTCCTATCCTATGGAATACCTCATCCAGAACACAATAAAATCCTGGCTCTTCTGGATAGCCTTGAGAATAGCTGAGATGGCTACACGGCTCCTGATGTTGTTATGCCAGAAAATCGTGCATTATTATGTTCTTACTCACATTATAATTTAACAAAGCTACTGTTCAGATTTGGTTTGGACTGCAATGGTATATAAAATCTAGAAAATAAATCTTACTGGCTGACAATTAGATTCACTGAAGCTCAATGCATCTGGAGAGGACCAGACTGAGAAAGCCAATATGCATATTCAGAAAACTACCTCTAATTGTTGTGAAAATTGTTGGGAAAATTGACTATATAATGCAGGGGTATCAAACTTGCCACATCATGTGACATGTCACAACATATTGTGACTTTTTCTCCATTGCCAGAGCTGGGGTGGGCGCGGTTTTGGCATGATGCATCTGGCCCATGGGCCGACAGTTTGACACCCCTGATATAATGTCTTTTCAAGAGAAGCAAACTCAAATTTAATCAAAAATCTCACCAGTGTACTCTAAATCAGGGCTTTTCAACCTTTTCACCCATTGTACCAGTTTTAGGATATGGCAACATCCGAGTACTACCAGTCGTCTAGCAAGGTGTCAAAAACTTGATGGCCAAAAAAAAAAGGAAAAAAGTGATAAAGTATAGGTAGTCCTCGACTTACAACAGTTCGCTTAGTGACTGTTCGAAGTTACAATGGCACTGAAAAAAGTGCCCCCTAAGCAAGACAGCGCCCGGCGGCGCTCTTCCTCCTGTCCGAGGTTTTCATTGTTAGCATTTCTGTTGAGGATTGGCAGCGGGGGTGGGGTAGGGGGCATTTGGTTTTTATTCCCCCCATCTGCTGGGTGGTTGCAGCAGGTTTTGGTCACTTCACATGACCCTGGGACACTGTGACCGTCATAAATATGAATCAGTTGCCAAGCATCTGAATGTAAATCACAAGACCCTGGAGATGCTGCAACATTCCAGCTGATCGGCGCTTCTTCTGGGCTCAGCAGAAGCGTCAGGATCAGTGCTGCTTTCCAGCTGATTGGTGCTTCTTCAGGGCTCAGCTGGAGCCTGGCGCTGATCCTGGCGCTTCCACTGAGCCCTGACAGCCCCGAAGACGTGCCGATCAGCTGGAAAGCGGCACTGATCCTGGCACCTCCGCTGAGCTCTGACAGCCCTGCAGCTCCAGCCATCTCTCACTCAAGCTTGTGTGGTGCTGCCACCGGTTCAGCTCATTCCCCTCCCCCACTACTTTTCTAGGATGGTCGCGTACAACCTGCTAGGTGCCAATGTACCACAGGTGGTACCCGTACCACTGGTTGAAAAGCCCTGCAAATAATCTGTTTTACCTGCTGGATTGTTAATGAAAATTACACATATCAAAGAAATAGATATTCTAGATTTGCTGTCATTAATTTTTAGATTAATTTTGCTGGACTGAATGATCTGACTCACATAAATTATTTATGAAGGGATAGGTCACGCTGCCACATTTGACCATTTCCCCTTGATTAGTATTAGCAAGGTGAACAGGTGCATTACAAAAAAAGTGCTTCACTTTAGCAAGATTATATACCTAAATATACAATAATCCTGATTTAACTGTGTAACCATGTCAATTGACTCAAGAATGAAGCCTACTAATTTTCTGGAATTTACTCCCTGACTTATAGCCCAGTTAGTTCCTCAGGCTCACCAGATGTGCTCAATTAATTCCCATAATCACTTAGGAATTTATCTGGTAGCCATTATAACTGAGTAATTTTAGAAACTTGATATACATCTGGATGACATCAAGCTGGACACAGCTGCCATAAGTGCTATATTAATTCACAATATTAAAATCTACATATTTCATTTTGATAAATTTCTGAACACGAGAAACTTTGTTAGCTTACTTATTGCATCAGATTTAGAATTCCTTCATCCCAAAATCATTTATTAATATACTACTACTTACTGGTACTTTGTCACTGTCTCCATGAAAGGCATTTTCAAACACGTGAGCATACTACATATCTATGATTTTTTATTATCATAAATGCATAGAGGCAGTCCTCACCTACCTATCGCAGTTGGGACTGGCAACTCCATCAAGCAATGAGATCATGAAGTAAAATGTCACGTGACCGTGCCTGATTTACAATGTCACTTCAATTCTAGTTGTAGTTGTTAACGGAATCACCATTAAATACGACATCGTGTGACCACAACTTGCAACTTCCTACCAGTTTCTCCATTGATTTTGCTTGTCAAAAGCTGAGTGTGACTGTGGGATGCTGCAACTGTCCTAAATGTCCAGCAGTTGCTAAATGCTCGAATCCTGATCACATGACTGTGGTAATGCTGCAGTGTCCACAACTTTGAAGACCAGTTGCAAGTCTCCTTTTTCAGTACTAATCATAATTTCAAACAGTTGCTAAATTAGTGGCTGGTAAATAGGGACTACCTGTATTGGCAGTTCTTTGTAAAATTCCCAGTTCAGAGTGCTAGTCCTATGAGGATAATATCCAGAGTCTTATAGTTTCAAGACTTCCTGAAATTAATTTGGGAGATGTTCTCAAATTTTAGAGTACCATGTTCCTCCCCCCCAATATATGCCTCCCAATGAATAAAACAAATCACTTCTTGGGATTATGGTGGGGCAAGAAGTAAATAAATTACTTCCATTTAAAAATTAAATTTTAATCCAGTAGAGGACATTAAAAGTCAAGATGAGCTCTGATTCTTTGTCTATGAAAGCCTGAATAAGTTTTTTTAAAAAAACATTGACACCTTGGAGGGGGACCCAGCTCATTGTTTAATAATCCAACACCAATGCCATTTAAAGAGTTAAGCTTGATCAGTGATCACAGAATCCTAGCTGATTATTGAAGGGGAGATGAAAAATTAAAAAGGAGGAAGTAAACTGAAAACAGCACTCCATGTTTGTCCCTTATAATAGCAATTCTAAGATACATATAAATACAGATTTAAGTCAAGTACCTGTAGGCTTGCTCCTGCAGCCACTTCTTATAAATGTTACTGTGTGAAGGCAAGTAATCCAGACTTTCATGGACTGAATGCTCATCTCCCTTCTCTTGAAGACTGTTTTTTCTAGAGCAATGACTATTGTTAGAGTTCCCTTTGCATTGGAGATCAAGAGAATCAATCAAATCAGGCTGCTCTTCTGCCAGCAACATCTGATCTTCAGCATCACCTGCACGTCTTGCGAGAAAGCAGGATTGACATAAAATCACACAGTTCACAAAAGATTGCAGCTTGTGAAGTCACCTCACTATCCAATAGAATGGGTGGCAAATTCCACAGGAGGGAAGAATGTATCTGTACAAGAACTTGCTGATGTTGTGGGTTGGATTATTTTGGGGTTGCAACACACAGATCCAACATGTTTGCAGCATCTACAGCCAGCCAGAACCAGATCTTGCTTTGTAACATAATGTTCTCACTGGAAGAGACTGGCATGCAATAGAATAGATGCTGCTTTTTTTCTTGAACATAGGTGACTTAAAATGATAGGTCTAGGAATTAAGCAGCCACTACACATAATTTGGCTAGGTAATACAAAAATGTATTTTTTACTTATTACGTAAAATCAAACCACAACTCGGAAGGCTGCAGAAACATTACATAACAAGGCAAATATCAAGGACTGTTGTATATGTCAAGTGATAAGGCCCATTGCCAATATCCAAGTGTACTTGAGTTTGCTGCTATTGCTGCTGCTGCTGCTCCTCCTCCTCCTCTGTGGTGATACTGTTTACTTTCTCTAAATAAGAGCAAAAGAAGCCCGTTTTTCTTGTCTCAAGAGAAATGTAAGCATGTGGGGAAAATGACGCGAACAAGAATTTCTCATTTGCTCTAAATGGAAGATTCATAGTGAATGCATTTTGAGTATGACTAATTGTGGCAATCTGGGTCAATTATTTGTGTGACCAAGAACAGAGGCATTTTTCTCTCCATACAAATACATGTACACATTACATCCTCAGAGATGACTTCTGTGGAAGAATATTACCTGTCTTGGCTGAAAACGGAATACATGAAATTTCCCAGTATAAAACCTTGAAGTATACTTGCACGTTCATCATGGAACAAGACAATGTAGCTGAAGAATGGAGCGTGCTATTTTGTGTTGGTGCATGGACACTAGCATCACACAAATCCTTATGAAAGTTAGATGAAATATTGCTTTTATATATAAAAATAGTATTGATAGGCAATACACATAAAAGTAAATGGTAGCATACAGGAATGGAGACAATCCATGACTAAATCTTCTGAACATAGTGCCAGTTAATGTTTCTAAAAAACACATTTCCTTTCTTCCTGTACCACTATGATGTTTACTGTAAACTTGAAAATAGTATCAGTACTGCCTGTTTACATAAGATGGCTTGTCAAGTCATAACTTAAAAGTTTTGCATCAGTGCCATTATTTATGCAGCACTGATGGAAGAATACTGCAGTATACAGGCAGAGTTATTTTTGCTTTACAACAGGTAAAAATGGAAGAGACACATTTTAATTACAAACTACATTGTGAATCTCTTTATGGGCAGATTTCATATAGAGCAACATCATTGGTATCTGGAATAGGGTGAAAGGGATGGTGACCTTCTGACCATTAGAAGGACTTATCAAATTGTCAAAAAGGTTCATTTCTTTGAATATGAAGCCATTTGAATATGGCCATCTTAGCTGTGGAAAGAAAGAAAGCAATCTTTTTTATTGTAAATTAATAAATAAAAATTCTTATCACAGGACAAATGGTAGACACCTGTGCATATAATTAAACACTGCCATTAAACATGTTCTACAAAGTGTTTATTGGGGTGAAATGTAATAAAGCTATCCTGAAGTGTATCATCCAATTCCTTTTCTTGGTCAGAGATAATACTCAATGTATTTTTGCATTAAGTTAACCTATAATAAATGAGGCAGAACTCTTTTAACCTTATCCTGACCTATACTGTACTACTCAAACTCAGGGTCAGCTCCAAACATTTTCCAATTCTTGTCCTTCACTCAAAAAAATATGTTGAAATTCGTTTCTACAAGATGCAGTAAAGCTTAATTAGAAAAGGACAAGCCAGATTAGCAGAGAATGTAAAGGTCTATTGCCCATGGCAGCTAGGTAGTAACAGTACCAGGTGATTGAATGCAAAGATGATGAAGAGGTACAGTTTCCCTTCTTATAGTAACAAGTAGGGACTGAAACTGCCAGTTTCAGAATGTTGTTTAAAGGGTGTTACTCAATATCAGCAACTTTTAAGATATAATAATAATAATAATAATAATAATAATAATAATAATAATAATAATAATAATAATAATAATAATAATAATAATAATAATAATAATAAAAGTTGGAAGGGACCTTGGAGGTCATCGAGTCCAACCCCCTGCCCAGGCAGGAACCCTACATCATTTCAGACAAACGGCTGTCCAGCCTCTTCTTAAAAACTTCCAGTGTTGGAGCATTCACCGCTTCTGGAGGCAGGTTGTTCCATTGGTTAATTGTTCTAACTGTCAGGAAGTTTCTCCTTAGTTCTAGGTTGCTTCTCTCCTTGATCAGTTTCCACCCATTGCTTCTCATCCTGCCTTCAGGCGCCTTGGAGAATAGCTTGACTCCTTCTTCTTTGTGGCAGCCCCTGAGATATTGGAACACTGCTATCATGTGGACCAACACCCAGAATTCCCCAGCCAGCATGAGAATTCTGGGTGTTGAAGCCCGCACATTTTAAAGTTGCTGTGGGTGAAAAACACTAGTTTAAAAGATGCCTCTCCATTTTGTGAAGTCTAAGCCTAACAGTATTCTTTTTGGGGTTGGGGGGGTTACCTAATACTGGGAGATTGGAGGAAGGGGGCTTCCCTATGCAGATGTTATTTTGTTGTTGTTTAGGCCTCATAACAGCATGATTGTCCTTGAGCAAACATACAGCTTAAAAATGGCACTTGTTCCAAACATTTATTATAGGCAACTACAGTGAAACAATCAAACAAACACGGAGAAGCGAATGCAGTCAACACACGTTAGAAAACAGAATACTAATAATGTACTATTCTCAGTATATCAGAATGAGTCGGACCCTCAAAAAAAAAATCACTCATACAAAGCCGGTGCAATACATTTTGCTGCCTGAGGGAAAAGACAAGATGGCATCTCTTTATTCAACAGACATCAGCTGACCAAATTGATGGCTGCATCTTGTTTCAGCACTACCAATGAGGCAATATTCATCATTAATACCCCAAAGTAACCAAGATATCTTAGGCCTTGAAGCCATCACTTGGTGCACACAACTCTGACCTCGCATCTTCCCAAATCCTTATCCCTCAGTACTTGCTGAGGTAGCTGCCTTTTTTCATAGTAAGAGCAAACCTGTACATCCAAAGGCTGGGTTGACACATCACTAACTCTATGCCCTAAGGTGATTTTAGTTTTAGCTTAATGTGGTGTGTTAGCCCAGTAATTGTGGCTTATAAAAGCATGATTGATGGCTTAGTATTGCATATGAACCAGGCCATAATGGCTTATTAAAACAAGCTATGGCTTAGCAGTATGTGTGAAGCCTGAATTGTATATCATACATGGTCTGATGGATTCATATTTAAGTAATAACATAGTTTTTATTTTGTATATTGTGAGACTTCTGCAAATTCTGGCTTCTTTCAGAAACCATGGTTAGAAAATAATGGCTTAGTACAAAATTTAAACCCATTTTCATACTTGTTAATTATCCTTTAGCAATACCTTTATTTCGAGGCACATTTTTAAAAAATTATTGTGCACTGGGATTTAGAAAGGAATTTTTTTTGCTTGCCTTATTTATACTGTTGTCACATATACATATTTTGCACCACCAAATAGTTAATTTAAGGCTGATGTAAAGTTGCCCTGTCTTACACATGGCTCTGTGCTCAAGGAACTTTGTTTTTATAATCTTACTAATATCATTACACTGAAAAGTTGCCAAGCTTTAAGGGGAAAAGGCACAAAATGGCTTTAGGGGTATAATTCATCAACCTTCAAGGCTCCTCCAGATGGTTTTTGCAACTGCCCACTCCCAGTCATACTGTTCCACACTTTTCACTCCTGGTACCTCAGTTCATGTTATCCAGATCTTGAATGTAGAATCAGGTAGTCAATCACATATATATTGCTAATTTATCAAATTAAGTCCCGATAGAAACTTATCAAAGAAAGGGCAATATTATGTATCAATAAAGTATAGTGGAATGGAAATGGAAAAGCTGGTCAACTTGGGAAATGTATCTTATCAGAATTTTTCAAAAAGAAAGCCTTCTTCTTATGATTAGATTATCATAGTGGAGGTTTTTTTTTCTCAAAATGGTAGGAGCAATGATAAAATAATGTATGCATGTAAATACACATACATACACTAAAAAGTTAAGTTCCATTACATTCAGAAAGCTCATAATCTAGCAAAATACATTTAGGAACTCAGCTCTGAGGTTTACTTACCATGTGTATATTTAGGGCAATTTCCTATAAGACAATTTGTAAGATATAGATATCCAACTATAAAACATGCATTAGTTATGAAGGCCACATCATGAAGAAACTGCTGTTCACTTTTAATATATTTGAAAATATGGATTAATCTTTTCTTGATTTCCATTTATTCTGAAGATAGAAGCTGCAAACTGCATTTCATGAAACACAAAATTTTAACATTTTCTTAGCAGAAAGCATCCCTTAAACAGCTGCTTATCCTGTTTATTAATTTAAAAGGAACAAAGAAAAAGGAATTTATTCCTACATTTATTTATTTATGTAGGAATTTATTCCTACATGTCTCCACTCATGTAAAATGAAGGTAGCAAAAAGAAAATATTTCTAAGATTAACATTTATACTCTGCAAACAAGATTAGGCTGAGCTAATAGATTATACATCCACAATGGCTACACAGATCTTGTACCTTAGATAGTACCTTAGTTGCTGGCATATGAATAAGAGACCTCAATTTGTTCAAGGGGTTTGCATGCATATCTCAATCAATATGAAGAGGAAAGAAATAAAAGGCAGACTGAATTTTCAACACCTTACTGTCCATCTAGGGCTCCTGAACCATCGAGCAGCAATAGCACAAAACACAAAAGCACCTAAAAAGCCAGCAATAACATACTTACAAGGAGTTGTATCTTTCCCCTCTTATTATTTTTAATACTATACCTGCTAATAGCAAAGAGAGTTCAAGAATTCAACGTACGAACTGAGCATCACAAAAGCAAAAAGGTTACAATTAGAGGGCCATTTAGTTGAAAATTAAAAATTACACATGCAGAGTCTAATATAACTGGTTCCATTAAAATTGCTCCAGCAGCCTAGATACCAAGAAAAAGAGGGTAATTAAGACAAGTTTAGGAGCAACATCTGACTTCTTAATTTTGCAGGGTACTGCCAGCATAAATTTAGAAATAGCACAGCCTCAGGGAATATTTTTCACATTTTATTTACATTTGAAGACTAACTTTATTCTCAATCACATATCCATACACCTATTTCCTTTTTTTTGTTTGTTGGTTTCACTAAAACTTAAATGCATGGTTTATTAGAACGAAGACTGTAAACAAATATTTGCAATGTCCATTACATGAAACACACAGGAGCTGCTTAAAATAAAATCATTCCCCCATTTTATAAATACAAGTATCAAAACAATCCTGACCATATTCTGAAACACTACTAGCAGTCAGCACCCACACATTGCAAAAATTAAACAAGTTGAGCAATGGTATTTGCAGTACCTGCTACTTAATTGTTTTAATCTGCAGCTCTTTTACTAAAGCAAGATGGATAAAGCATGCCATTAGTTTTTTTTTCTTCTTGCAAAAAGTTTCTGAAACATTATTCCACAGCAACCTGACACTTCCGATCATGCGCTCATCTTGAAACACTGGAGTTCCAAATTTAGGCTACTTCAGGCTTATGCTTAAAATGATAGTGCTTGGTAAAGAGGAAAAAATTGTGCTGCCTTTTTTCTCTGATTGTGCCTGAAAACATATGGGGCATACATATATATATATACTGTATATATGTATATTCTTTCAATGTCCAGATCATATACACCAGCAGAAACTCTTAATGTGTGGGTGGTTTGCATTGTGAAATTGAATCAAGACATTAACATAAGTAGAAGTTGTTTAAGACAAGTTTGGGATTCAGCTAAAATTAATTGTTGTAAGTTTGCCCTTCTGGAGGTTGTGGAAGCTTCATATTTTCTTTGGACATCATTTGACGCCTTAACTCTTGAAGTATAACTTTAATGCTATAAGAATTTTGCCATTTTGCTAACACTGGTATGCTCCGTGCATCCACCTATAAAGAAAGAAATCATACATGTAAACCGAGAATGTAGAATAATTTATTCTAGAATGGTGTCAAAAGCTCAGCATGTATATTTCAGAAAATATGAACACCAATTCAAACTGCTACATTAATTTCTAAGTGCAAAAAAAGGAGACTAATGATTACAACATAAAAGAAATTATAGCTCACAGTGTCTGAAATAAGAACTTTATGTTGGTGCCCTTTGAATTTTTTTTTAAACCTAAGCATAGAGGGATGCTTTCAAGGCATGAATATAATTTTTCCTTAATAATTCAAAAATGGAAAAGCATATAAAAAGCAGGAAATTATTTATGCATATATGTTTTATATTCAAGAAATACTGTTTAACTGTTAATATGCTCCAATTACCTTTTCTGGGAATAGTACACTAAATATTCAATGACATTGCTTTATCTTTAAAAAAATACTCAGCTATTCATATTTAATTTCTGGAACATGCATAACTGTTGGCTTTTAAAATAGAAATTCTTATATAGTATTCTTCAACAATTTGCAGATACAATCTCATTAATTGTTTATCTATCTATCCAGGACAGTCCAATTAGATCTAAACATTAAGGGGATTATCAGAAACAGACATCTTTAGCCTCTCCTCCATCAAAGCTCCTCCTTGCAGCTGCCATGGCAAAGTGGGATTACAGTTCCCACTACTTCTCTTCACTGTGCATTTCCCATAGTCAGTTCTATGATTTAACAATCTCTGATAACAAATAAAACACTACTAAATTAAAAGTTTTAATTTTCACTATTAATTACTAAACATCCTGTTGTGAGCTATTTTATATCTGAATCAAAATTTTAATATTGTGGTGTATTTACCAATATGCAATTTTAAAAAAATGTAATCAATCTCCACATCATTTTGGCTATAGTCACAGTGATCCAGATGTATATAGTTACAAACAATACGTGACAACTTATAAAGTGATATGTTCCTTAACCCTAAGCCCAGTCTCCCTGCCAAGCAGAATCCTTCACAACATTCCTGCCAAATTAGTTGGCTCATTTTGCATCCAACTTACCATTCCATTGGAATTATTTATTCCATTCATATTAATTTTAGTTACAAATCTAACTGTTGGAGGTGCTTCAGGATATTTAGGCCCACACTCTACTTTCAAGCTGTATATTCTGTTTTCATAATTTGTCTAGTAAACAGAGAAGACAAAAAGTGAATCATAATGAAAATATGCATTCACAATTTTAACAAAACAAGTAAATAAACCCAGCCATATTTCAGGGATGGAAGACTTTTGCTGAGCAAATGCAGCAGAAATTGAAGAATGCTAGGGATATATTACAATATTCACTTCTGTTAATCAGCTGATTAATAGATTTTAGGTTTTTTTAGGAGTTGCATTATCACCATTCCAAAGGATTTGTTTGTAAACCTAGTTTCTATTTCATCTAAGACTATGTACAGATAGAAACCCTAACTGAATGGGAAAAAAACAATAAAATATTTTCAATTTAATTAATATAAGCTTGGCCACAACATGATTATCTGTTGCTTCTCTAAATGCATTATAGACTATTTTAGACATACTTTATTAAAGGATTTAGCCAAATATTTTTTAAAAATCAGATAAATTTAAAAACATCTATTCCTATAATAGCAATTCCAAGTAATTATTCAAAGAATCCATTTTACACTGAGAAAAGTATGTGGAGCTTCAAGAGCTCCTAATTGTTATTTAATTCTCAAGTTCCTCCAGATATTATCATTTATATTTATTACTGTGTGGAAGGGGAAAGATATTGCACATATGTGAAGTAATCAAATTGTCTTTAATTACAATTTAAATAACTATATTATACATTCAAATTAAACAAAATCAAAGTTAGCTTTTGTTATGCCACGGCATTTTTTTTGTTCTAAATATGATAGGTCAACTCTAGCTTCTGATCCTAAAATAATGTGCATATCTGACACAACAAAATAATGGTGGCAAAACAGTCAATTTATCAGAAATACAGAACTTGCCAAATAAAATCAATTTCTGTAAATTTGTAATAGCTTGAAGATAAATAAAACTAATTATACTTGAAGATAGATAAAACTAATTATACTTATAGGCTAATTTTATTTCCCTTTTCAACTTAACCAAGCTAGAAATATTTTCTTTACAACCCAGTTCTTCCCATTGAATAACAGTATGTTTTATTCATGTCCCATGTACATTTATTTTTATGCTGCCTTTATTATTTTTATAAATAAAGGTAGCAAATATACTTAATACTCCTTCCTCCTCCTATTTTCCTTACAATAACCCTGTGAGCTGCCTAAGAGAAAGTGACTAGCCCAAAGTCATCCAGTCAGCTTTCATGCCTAAGGCAGGACTAGAACTCACAATCTCCTGGTTTCTAGCCTGATGCCTTAAATTTTGCTGCTATTATGTTCTGATGGATATTGACCTTTCAGTTCTCCAAATTCATGGCTATGCAATGATTGGACTACATATAAATTTACAAAGCAGGTTTCCCCTTATGCAAGGGTATTTCCTGATCTCAAGGGGTTCCCTATTCCTTTACCACAGATCTGAGGACCACCTAGAAATGCAGTCATTAAAAATAATTTCTGCTGGCAGAATGGTATCCATCACAAGATAACAGTCCATTAAGATAGAAGGAGTCAACCCATTAAGGTTTCTTCACACCTGTTTACTTCCATTTTCCATATTTGCTCAAGAAACAATTCAGATTTGGAGCTAAAATAATACAAAATGACAGCACTTAGGGAACTATCCTAACTAAAATAAAATGTTGGTTATTATTTCAATATATTGTTTCTGTGTACAAGTAAGAAGTAAAGTTTCTTCAAGTCAAACTTGATTCTTGGTGACTTTATGGATATACTTCTTTCTCTCTGCAGAAATATGGAAGTGTTTCGCCAATGTAATCTTTCTTTTCATCTGGTCTAAAGCCCTGGGAATCCTCAGTTTTCCACTCACGTACTAACCAGCCCAAGCCCAATTAGCTTCCATACCCAAATAATGTTACCCACATAAGTAATATATAATTATTTAATCTCTATTTGGCTTATTAATATACAATGATTAATGAAGTCATTAGCAAATAATAATGCACAAATCAAAAATACAATATACACATAAACAAAATTGAGAAAATTGTGGGCACACATCAAGTTAATCATCAGTCAGGTCAATTCTTCTGATTCTAAAAATTAATAGATGGTACAAAATAGGCTATCAACTGCTTCCTCTTCTAGATAAAATGGCATTCAGCATAAGGATCACAACTATATTATTATAATTAAAACATTCTAGATAGTTTGAAGTTTTGAAGTTTGAAGTTTTATTGCATTTATATCCCGCCCTTCTCCCAGTGGACTCAGGGCGGCTTACAGCCAATTAAAAAACAGAACAATCAATACAAATCTACAAAATTTAAAATCAATTAAAAGATATATATAATAGGCCTATTCATGTTTTAAAATTAATTAAAAACCAGTTTAAAATATCCCTAGGCCAGTCCTGCCTGCTGAAACAACCATGTCTTGAGGGCGCGGCGGAAGGAGGGGAGATCCGGAATCAAC